TCTTACTTTCCCTACTACTACTACTACTCCCACCGCCGCCGCCGCCGTCGTCGTCCTTCACTTTGTACGAGAATGACCGCTTGGTGCCGATCTCGATCTCCTTCTCGCCGGGGACGAGGACGAGGCTGATCTTGTCGTCCTTCTGCGACTTCCACACGCTCTGCCCGAAGCTCCTTTCCACGCGCTTCCCCTTCTCCTTCTTCTTCTTCTTGAGCCGGGTGAAGAAGTAGAGCCTCGACTCGCCCGTCAGGTCGAACCAGTTCTTCCACCTCTCCTCGTCGTCGTAGAGGTCGGCTTCGAACACCACGTTGGTGTTTGGGTGGAACCGGTTCGGGTCTTGGCAGAGTTTGGGGCAGAGGTAGTCGAGAATCAGCTGCACGTCGTCGGTTGGGTCGAACCGGAAGCCCGGCGGGAGGCCCGGGATGTAGCTCATCGTGGTGCGATCGAGATATATGGAAACGAAAGCCCTGAGAATTTGTTGATGGGAGAATGCGTGAACCAATAAAAACGAAGATTAGCGTCTCGTTTATATTATGGGGGGGTTTTCCGCTTTGATCTTGGTATTCCTTTTTGGTTGCTAATTCTGATTGGTCATTTCTTGATCTTGGTTCTTGATGAATGCTGAGCTGGCATGCCGAAATTGATTGTTGATATTATATTTTATGTAAGGGGACTGCTTTACGTACGTACAGTACAGTTACGCTGCATGCATGCAACTTTGCAACACCGTACGTGGGTACGTGTGAACCAAGACCAGACCGCGCCAACTGTTAGCCCAAAATCAGCCGGGAAATACAATAAATGAAACACGCTACCAATAGCCCTGACAAATAAATGATCGCAATGCATTTTATTTTATTTTTACTGAATTTTCCTATTTTTAATCAATGAATTTTCACAATAAGGGAGCTGATTGTTTTAAATTAGGCTTCAAATTTTTTTTATATTTTCTAAATTTATTAAAATGTTATTAATTAGCCAAATCTTTCGTAATACATCAAAATATTAGTAATTTTTACGTTATTATTAATAATTTTGTAACTCTTTTCTTAGTTAAAATACTTAAATTTTGCAATATACGTTGACCTCCATATGTCTCTTCTAAGTTAGTATCATGTTGACAAGTCAATATTACTAACAAAATTGCTAACTGAAAATTAACAATTGACTAATTCTTAATATTTCGATAGGTTTGGATAATATAAAAGAATCTAAAAAAAGTTGTACTGTTTCTACAGCTTCTATGCAGTAACCTTTCCTTTCTTTCCTTTCTTTCTCCCGACCTTTTCTCTCCTGTAACTTTATTTGTTTTAATAAAATTTGTTCACCATTATAAAAAAAAATCTAAAAAAAGTTTGGATAAGAAATATACATTGTCTTTTAAGGCGACATCGAGGTGGCTAATGATGGATGTGTTAATTTGCACTTCTTTCCATAGGTCACTATACACAAGGTGCAAGCAAAGTAGCCCTCAGTTTTGAAGAGGTTGAGTGTCCATCACGTGTCAAAGTCATGTTAAAGCATGGTAAATCTATCTTACCCTAAAGATTTGGTGCAGATAGAAGATTTGAATTGTGCCAGATTGTATTAGATCACGGAGAAAATGATGTTTAATTTCTATATGTTTCGTTCTAGAATGTTGAGCAAGGTTCTTACTCATGTTAATGACATTTGAATTATCGCATAGTGTTGGTACAGTTGATAGATCAACTCTATACTCGAGAAGTTGTTGCTTGAGGCATAACATTTGAGCACAACAATTTCCAACTGCTAGATATTCAGTTTCTATAGGACAGAGCGCTACACATGCTTGTTTCGTAGAGGACCAAGAGATAGGTGAAACTCATAGAAATTGACATCCTCTAGACGTACTCTTCCTACTAGAGTTCAACTTCTAGCAAAGGCAGAATCAGTATAACCTAGTAATTCAAGGTTGTCCAGAACTGGATACTAGGAGAAATGTACCAGATATTTTAAGATTCTTTATATATAGCTAGCTGTCAAACGAGATTGTTTACGATTTGCCTGAAACCTGGGACACAAGCATACACTAAACATGATATCAGGCCTACTAGCATTGAGATATAGCAAGGAACCAATGATTCCTTTGATACAATTTCTCATCTACAAGACTACCATGTTCATCATTGTTGATATGACTTGAATCGGATTATCAGCCGCTACGACTGGTAATCGGGGGTCTGGTCTGTAACCATTTCCTTTGTCAGATTGGATTAGGTTTAGACCCACATGGAGAAGTATTATAAATACTTCTCATACTCCTCTGTAATCTGTAATCTCATCAATATAGTGAAACTGGCTCTCCCTCGCCCGTGGACGTAGCTAGCACACATCGGCGTGTTAGTGAACCACGTAAATCGTGTGTCATGTTTTCGATTCTCGCTTTCGTATTCTTGCTTTGTCGATTCCAGCGATTTCCCGATCCGTAGCAGCGCATTTATAACAATCATCATCTAGCTGAATAGAGGATGTTGTAGATGTTTTCGATGGTTTGGCTGTGGTTTGATGAATCATGATCCCTTTATGAGTCTGATTCATTTGTAGTCCAAGAAAGAAGGTGAGAGTCTTCCATCATACTCAACTGAACCTTGGATGAGAGAACATAATTCATAGGCCATAGCAGAGGTTTTCATTTACTGCTCCAAACACTATTTCATCAACATATATTCGTACGAGCAGCAAATCATTCCCATAATGTTTTTGGAAAGAGAGCAAATCATTCCCATAGAAGAAGTCGTGTTCAAGAAGAAATGTATTTAGACAATCCTATCAAGTTACAAGCTTGTTTGAGATATCATATGAAGCAATAGACATGATCACAAAAATGGCTTTTGAAATAAGAAGATTGTTCTACAAAAAAGTTTTAACATTCATTTGGAAAATTTTAATTTCCCTTGAACCGGCAAAAACACACAGGGGACGAATGGCTTCAATCATGACTACAGGAGGAAAGATCTACTCATAGTCAATCCCTTCTTTCTGATCATATCCTTTAGTTACTAATCTAGCTTTATCTCTTGTAATTTTTCCTAATTCATCATTTTCAATCATGAATACCCATTTGCTTCCCATCACAGGCCAATTAATCGATGCAGCAATTCCATTAAGTGTCTCACCTGCTCGAAGATGACGCTATATATGCAGACTCCATAAATTACACAAACGTTGTTGTACTACCATATTGACCCGACTTCCTTTCATACATTAGGCTGGAAAATGGAAACGTCACGATAGTTGAAGGTACAAAAGCATATATAAGCTAAAAGTGCAGTCATCTGATAGAAGAAGCTACTGCAATTTTGAGCTTACCAAAACAACAGAACCCTAACATCCATACACGAACCAGACGAGCTAGGACTACAGCAACCTATTACTTACCACCTACTACCCAACTTCAAGAGATGCACAAGAGCAACACCTAAAAGTAAACAAGCAACCCCTACCTATGATCATGCATGGCTGAAGCGAAACCATGCACCTCCATTCTCAAAAGCCACCAACGTCGAACGAACGAAACGAAATATCATCAATCTTCTATCTTAAAGCCGGACAACGACATCTGGGATGGAACAAATGTGACAATCTCGATCCTGGCCTTGTCCTCAGTCCCAACTCTACGAAGCAAGTCCGTCTCCGGGTCTAAGACGAGCAACCCTGCATTCTGACAACTAAAACACCCAAAAAGCTTAATATCCACAAAGTAACAACCACCCCTCCAAATAGCAGGGAATTCATACGCCCCAGCCAGGTCGGAAACACGATACAGCAAAGTCCAAGGCACGGATTGGTCGAATTTCAGCAGCACCCGTATCTCGAAACAGCGATCCCTGCAGCGGTTGCCCCTGCAATCCGAAAACACACCCACGATGGAGTCCTTCAGCAGAGTGCAGGAATCGGCAGCCCATCCGTACTTACCAGTTGGCTTAGGGAAATCGATCCAATCAAACACTTCTTTCCCCATGTCCCATGACAGCAACTGTGTGTCTTCACGACCCGATTTCCACCAGTGAAGCATCCCCCCACGATAGGTATGGGGATAACGAACCGGATTCGAGACGACTGGCGAGTCCTGACCATCAATTCTCCTCCACGAATCATTCCTCAAGCTGTACATCTCCACAACAGACCATGGATCAGGTCTAACTGGCTCGAAATCATCAATACCGAACGAATCGGCGCTAATGCTCCGAATGACCTTGTAGTCATTCGTCTGCGAATCGAACCCAAAACCAATAAGCTCGTCAAACAGACGGCCGTCGGGGCCAGTCCGATCACCACTGAAGGGGGAACGCGGCAGAATCTTAGTCTCTGAAGTTGCCGGATTCCAGAGGATAATGTCGGAGGCATTGGAGTAGAGTTTATCGGCGATACAAACAATCCCATCACAGCAACCCACAATTGACAAGTCTAATTCGAAATCAGATGTGGTTCCATCGCAGGGGAAGGTATAAGAGCGAACCTTATTGGGGACACAGGGCAAATCAGGGTCTTTACCGATTGGGGTGATGGGTTCCAGACTCTTGTAGGAGAGCAGAGAGTAGACGAAGTGGGATGTGGCGTAGCCGTCGCCATTGTCGTCGGCAGCGCCCTTGACCAGAACCTGAGCAGTTTCGTCGTCTCCGGTGGAATCAACGCCCGGCCCGAAGAGGATGTTGTGAATGGAACTTGGGCGCGAGAGAAGGATGTTCCAGAATCTACAGACGCAGCGGAATCTGACGATGCAGGAGCCGGAGGGGAGCCTCAACAAGATTTCATTCACCATTTCTTCCGGGAAGAAGCCGCCAGTACTCGTCTTGATGGGCTCTCGGTCGGCGGCCGGGACGACATTCCACTTCTTGATTTTCAGGCGGCGACGGCCTGCTGAAGAAATGGCACCGGATTCCCTCTTACGACGGCCTCCGGCCATTGTGGACCTCTGATATCAGCGGCAATTCGGCGACTAGGGTTTGCTGAAGCACTGACTGGTGGGGAGAAGAAAGACGCTTCACCTTTCTCCGAATCTCGACTCTGCTTTTGTTTCCCTTTTGTAGACTTCAAAAATATTTAAAAATTAAAATAGTTACATCACGCGTATTGTATTTTTGGTCCCTAAACTATCAACTATAACCAACTCATCCTCATAATATCTAATGATTCACTAATGCGCCCCACTTGCGAAAACAAGAATCCATCCTCTCTGTTTCTATATCTGCGCCCAGCAATAATCCCTTTAAACACTTCTACTACAAATGCCATTTCATTGCTCTTTGATTGCTTTCTGAGCTCTGTGGTTTCCCTGTTAAATAACTGCTAACCATGTTAGTGTTCTTCAAAGAATGTATGTATATATGGCGGTCATCTAATCTCATCGATGTGTGTGCGCGCTATACCAACAGCCACAACCCACAGTATCCAGCAATGCTACACGATCTGCTTCTGCAGGAGGTTGCATCGACCCCACACTCCTCGTCTCTCAGACACCGGTGGTCCCCTCGGGCATCAACGACGTGGCAGACGCTCTCGATTGGCTGCTGGCCTTCTCCCAGATTCAAGCTTGTTGCAGGACATACTTGCAGTGACATCGCACTTGCTCGTTCCGTTGGCATCCGACTCTGCATGGTTAAGAACGAACTTTGTTCAACAGCTATTGCAAAAACAGATTCCTTTTGTTTTCATGAGTTGTTCGTGCAGATTCAAAGACAGAAAGAAATGGCGATGAGAGAGATGACTCGCGCATAACTCGTGGATTATATGCAAAGAAAAGTCGAGATGATCGCATATATACACCTTCATGGTGAAAGCCTAAAAGAGGCAACGAATACCTTGACATAGGTCCAATTTGATGGGATGTAGGCTTCTGGAAGTCGATCATGCCAATCACTTAGCACTGGGAGAGGGTGACCCTCAGTTGTAAACACATAGTTTCTACCAGCTAAAAACGAATCATCAAAGAGAAGATACAGATACTTGCACCTGCAAGAACAAAAGAGAGGAACCATAAGAATGCTAGTCAGAAAATAGAATATAGCATGCCAATCATATTTTTCCAGGAAAGCTCTAATCTTGGGAGAATTAAAGAAGGGTGGAAAGAAGTCTTACGTTTCCGCGAGAAAGAAACTATGCTGGTGATCTTCCCTTTGCATAGTTGTGACATCTCGAATGCTAGCAAATCCTCCCTCAACTTTAGTGTAGAAGTTGAGAGAGTTAACTATTGCTTCGCCCACCTCTATATAAAAAGGATCTGAGACCATAGCCGTCACCAAGATTGAAGGGCAAATTAGAAAAATATAAAGCAGCCTAATGCAAAAGCGAGTTTATAATTGGTTCATCCATTTCCCCAAGCTAAGATCAGGGTCTGAAAATTATAAGAGGTTTAAATCTAGAATTTGATGCGAACAGCGAAAATACCTTTAGTCGCGTGATATAAGTAAAATGTGGACTCGGCCAATTCAGGACGCAGTGGATAATACTTTTCTGTAGGGTGCACAGTCTGATAATCCAGCAAATACCTGAAAATTATTATCTCATTAGGTTTCCTCAGTTCTGTAGAAAGTCTTGTCGACCCAACTAAGCAGGAGCAGTAGTTTAAATGGTTAATGCAACATATTATCAGATATGGAGGCAAATACCTTTCTGGTAGCACCCCATACTTTTCCCAGACAGAAAAGAACTCTCGATGGGAGGAATTCGCAGCTCTGACATCCCCCACAAGAACCTGATTAATAATATTACAATCAGACACCTCTTTTAAATGCAAATTCGCACCATGGAAAGTGATGCTGAATCAAGGAAAAACTTGCCTGTAGACCAGGCCAAAATGCTTGAAGGCTTGTCAGCTGCCAATAAGTTGCTCTTCCACTCCTCATATCAGCTTCATGGTACCTAAGTAAGAGTAATTACTTCATGTTACAAACACTTCTACCGTTGTCGAGATTATATAATGAAGTAATCACACTACCCAGGAAAGAGAAACTAGTGCATTTAATTTCATCATCTTGGATTATCTAAAAGATAGAATTGTTCAGAATGGGGAACTTCATGACCAAAAAATGAGTACCATGAGCCATGTCTGAAGTATTTCTGCACAGCTAGATAAGCTGACTGGAACATTCTCCAGTAGTCATCTTTTCCAAATAGAATATGAGCCTTGACTAGATACTCGTAGAAAGAATCAACCCCTGATTGAAGCAATAAAATGTCCATAATCACAAAATAAGAATTATTCCAGCACATAATTTCAGAGCATACATGTTTTCATGGAGAATGAATTACCGAGAATTAAAAGAAAACGAGCTACTAGCAAGTATTATCTCATAAAGAAAGGCCAAACAGTAGATACCAGCTCCAATCCCAGAAGAGTGCTCAATCCACTCTCCAGTCATCACATCTAGAGTTGTTCCGAATAAGTTCAATGAACTACGCATACTCCACAACTTCCTCAGAGCCCGTAAAGCTGCAAATTCATATCTCGGGTCCCCAGTTAATCGTGACAGTGCTCCCATTTCAAGTATGAGAGAACCTGATTGTAACCACGAAAAGAATTTATTGAGAGGCATGCAAATCCAAAACTACAATGCAGCAAAGCGAACTGTATGGTTATGAATCTCACCACACCCTGAAGTGCTAGTTTCAGTAGTTTCACCTTCCATGACTCCATACTGTCCACAGAATTTTGCATTGCTGCGGAGTCATATATCCCTCTTACAAAAGGAAAAAGGCAGAAACATATTCTCACTTCCTAATCCTCATAAGTCAACACTATGTGAAAATGAGGATATGCAACTGCTTCGCTACTAGTCAACAACTACTAGTTTATAGGGTCATATAACTTGCACAAGGTACAGCTAACGACGCTCTGTTTTTCAAGTGCGGCAAAAATGATTTATATTGTCTATATATAAAACTATTGGACTTGAAAGTAACCTAGTAACTCATACAAAAGTTGTTCCATGAAGTACCTTCAAGTTGACCCAGGCGTAAGGCAAACCAGTTGGTGTATCAAATGCAGGTAAGAAACGCCGGCCCAAATCTTCAGCCAGACCCAGCAATTCATTATCATAAGAACCTTGAATCAACCGATTCTTCGAGTCAGATGCAAGAATATGAGCAGAAACAAGCCCTCCGAGAACTCTTATATTGCACTATATGAATTAAACGAGCACACAATAGTCAACAAGCTAAAACATAATCCAGCAACTCCTAATTCTGAATTAAGGCTACAGAAACCAAGAATTACACTATGCAGATATCATATCAAAACCAGCTAAATTTTTACAGAGAAATTGACCAATAGTACCTCAAAAAGGTTTACCCTGGCATCAACATCAAATGACAAATTCTTCGACAGCCAACCAACTGCCCTTTCAAATTCTGTGTTGTTTCCCATTATAACAAGGCTGTGGAATAGAAAGGCAAGGCTTTTTCGTTAAGAAGGACGTGATTGCTCTGCCTACTAACTACATCAAAACACAGAACAGTATCAACTAACAACTACTTCAACAGAGACCCTTCAGCCTCAGTCATCCAGTAAAGTTCTCACCTAGATAATGACTCAATGAGAGTAAGGGCCGAGCCACTGTAATCTGTAGGCAAATGCTCAAGCTGCAAACAAAATAGCGAAAATGCTTAGACTTCAGCTGAGCCCAAGCAGAAAGCATAAAAACATGGCTTACGAATCAAAACAAGCATCCATAATTTACCTTGAGATTCCCAAGCTCGCTTAGAGAGTCTGTGTATGACTTGGTAAGAGGCTTCAGCTCATCATGCTGCCATTCCATTCAGCGTATGAATAACTTGATCAACAGAAACATCCCCCCCATATATTTACAACATAGAAAGATAGAACAACATAGACTCACCGGAAACGCGTAGGTCATGTAGTTTTCATAAGCATGATAGAACCTGCAAACCACAACCCATTAAATCCAACTGGTTCTATATTAACAAATCTGCTTTCTTTCTTCGTCCCCAAATTGAATACAGAGTTCGCTTCGACCTTCTAATGAAGCCAGAGTTGTTCAACATTAATTTGCATTCAAATGCACCAAACCCACCATTCAAATTTCCAGAAGGACCAAAACTCCTCAAATTGGGGTGAAGGAGAACAATGAAAGACGTGATACACTACTACTGCTTACATCTCTCGGACCTTGTCTCGCATCTCCAGCTTCTTAGCTGCCCATCGAGAATCAAGCTCGGAACTTGATGTGCAAAAGGAGAGGGAGATCACAAGAAGCAACAGGACAAACGCCGGCGTCCCAGATCTCCGAGACGGCATACTGAGAGAGGCGAAGGAAGATGGCAGAGCCCAAAGCACCGGGTCGAATGAATGGGTTGTCGATCAGAAGTAGGAAAGGGCAGAGCAGCGGGAAGATTGGAAGCAAAAATTCAGTTGGATTGGATTTGGCGAACTGGCAATCCACATCTTGGAGCCCCGCTAGTACAAATTTACAATAATCTATTTGCTGTAATGTATCTTTGGAGTAATGATTTATCTGTTTCTTTGTTATTATTATTTTTATTATCGTGCAAGTGACCAATAGCAAGCAACCAGTTGGAGTCGTAGCCAATCATATTTTGGCGCACTTGTCATGAGGTGATGGCGTGGAGAATTTGAGTAAATTACACCTTTGATCACTGAGATCGTCTCCCACTTTCATTTTGCTACCGAAAAAGAAATTTGTGAAAACAAGTTCGTTAAATTTGTTTTATGCGACAATAATTGTATTATTAGTGTTAGTAACAGCAGCAGAAGAGAAAAACCCTAAAACCTAGGTTTTGGCTTAGCATTGATGTTCAATATATATGTGGCATTGCCACTACAATCCAAGGTACAGACTAAGTTGCTGTCCTTGCAGGTTGCAGCAGAGTGAAGAGCAAGGTAGAAGACAAGAGAAACGGGAAAAAGAGTTCGCTAATTAACGGAGTGGAAAGGTGCCGCTTTGCCCAACGGTCGACTGGATTTGTGTTGGCTTGATTGAGCCTCGCAAGACGTCACACCATGTACACGTTGTCGTTTCCTTCTGAGTGTTCATCGAGCTGGATTGAGAGTTTGAATTTTGCAATTCTGCTGTTACCCCCCCCCCCCCCCCCCACAAGCGGGTGGGCAGAGCAGCTGGACACCAAGCTTGGACAAGATGAAGGAGAAAGTCGCTGGAGGAAGAGGCTTGGTGAAGATGTCGGCCAATTGATGTGCGGAGGACACGTGGAGTAGCTTGATCACTTTGGCCTGCAACTTCTCACGAACCAGGTGACAATCAATTTCAATGTGCTTTGTACGCTCATGAAATGTGGGGTTTCGGCGATGTACAAAGCAGATTGATTGTCACAGAATATGGTTGTTGGCTGTGAGTGAGGGACCTTGAAGTCTCGAAGTAGGAAGAGGACCCATTGGACCTCGCAAGCTGTGTAAGCAAGAGCGCGGTACTCTGCTTCACAAGAGGAACGCGAGACAGTATGCTGTTTCTTACTTTTCCAGGAGATGAGAGATTCACCGAGGTAGATGCAGTAGCCCGTGATGGAACATCGAGAGTCGGGGCAGGCGGCCCAATCAGAGTCACTGTAACCCTGAAGGTGAAGAGTTGTGGAGCTGGGAAAGAAGAGCTCAGTTGCTCGGAAGTGCGTCTCTGTTGGTGATGACATGAACTGACTGAGCTGCTAGGCGGAGAAGCTAATATCTGGGCGGGTTGTGGTCAGATAAATTAGCTGCCCCACAAGACGCATGTATGACTCTGCATCTGTGAGAGGTTGGTCTGAAGAATTTGACAGGTGAGTCTTGTAGTCCATGGGGGTTGTTGCAGTGCGAGAAGAGACAACACCTGCATCTTCAATTATCTCCAGGGTGTATTTCCGCTGGGATAGATGGATGCCTGAGGATGTGCGAGAGACTTCGAGGCCAAGAAAGTATTTGGCATTGCCAAGGTCTTTGATTCCAAATGAGTGATGAAGATGACGTTTGATGGCCTCAATTTCAGTAAGATCACTGCCACCAATCAGCAGATCATCTACATACACCAGAATGCAGGTATAGGCAGTTGTGGTGGCCTTGAAGAAGAGAGAGTGATCAACCTTGCTTGATTCATACCCTTGGGAGTGTAAGCAGTCAGCAAGCTTGGAGAACCATTGACGTGGAGCTTGTTTCAAGCCATAGAGGGACTTTTTCAGTCTGCATACTGGGTTTGGATATTGGGAGGAGGAATAAGGCCTTTGGGAAGCTTCATATACACCTCTTCCAGAAGATCTCCATGTAAGAATGCATTGTTTACATCAAGCTGGTGAACAATCCAGTTTTTGGCTCCTGCAATGGCCAAGAAGAGTCTGACAGTGGTCATTTTGACTACTGGTGCAAAGGTGTCTTGGTAGTCCACACCTTCTTGTTGGCTGAAACCCTTTGCTACAAGTCTGGATTTGTGACGTTCAAGACTGCCATCTGACAAGAATTTCAGTTTGAAAAGCCATTTGTTGCCAATGGCTTTCTTCTTTGGAGGGAGGGAGACCACATCCCAAGTCTCATTCTGAATCAATGCTTTGAGTTCATGTTGAACAGAATTGTCCCATTCTGGATTGAGAATGGCTTCTTCATAAGTATCTGGTTCCTTGTAGGAAGAGATACTGAGAGCAAACCTCTGATGCTGATTAGATAAACTGGAATAGTCAATCAGAGCAGCTAAAGAAGTGGCATTACCTGGAGTCTGGTGCTTGGAAGAGTGACTGGAAGAAGAAGGCTGCTGAGGCAGGCTGCAAAGGTAAGGGTGAAAGCGAGCAGGTTGTTTGGTTTGTCTGGGAGGTTTCCTTAGGGCTATGGGAAGGTTAGTGTCAGGCTAGTTGGTAGGTGGAGATGCAGCAGGAGGTGGTGGTGGTGGTGAAGGTGGTGGGTTGGAATTTGTTGATGGGATAGCAGGTGGTGGTATTAAAGTGGGGCTGTAAGGAGGGTCTGAGGGGTCAAGTGTGGGTATAGTGGAGTACAGGGGTAGGTCAAAGTTTGGTGATTGTTCTTGTAGTTGGTGGAAGGGAAAGTGATCTTCATAGAAGATTACATCCCTTGAGATGAACACATCATGAGAGGTAAGATCATATATCTTGTATCCTTTAATTCCTGAAGGGTATCCAATGAATACACCTTTCCTTGCTCTATTTTGGAATTTGGTTCTATGGTTGCTAAGGGTGGAAGCATAGCATAGACAGCCAAATACCTTAAGGTCTAGTAGGTCTGGTTGCTGTGTATGAAGTTTCTCATAAGGGGAGATATCACCTAAAACTGCTGTAGGGATTCGGTTGATTAAGAAAACATCATGCCTTACACATTCTCCCCAGAATCCCATAGGTAGGTTTGACTGAAATTTTAGAGCTCTGGCAATTGCTAAAATGTGTTGATTCTTTCTTTCTACCTTCCTGTTTTGCTGTGGTGTCTCAACACAGGACATCTCATGAAAAATGGCAGTAGAAGAAAAAAAATCTGACATTTGAAACTCTTTTCCTTGATCACTTCTAATCTTTTTAACTGAGTGATCAAATTTCCTTTCAGCTAGAACACAGAATTCTTGAAGCTTTGGCCGAGCTTCAGATTTGTTTGTCAATAAGATAATCCATGTCATTCTGCTAAAATCATCTACAATGGTCAAGAAGTACTTAAAACCATCATAAGTTGGACAAGAGTTTGGTCCCCAAATATCAACATGAATTAATGAAAAAGGTTTGGAAGTAACTGTGGTACTATCTGGGAAAGGAAGCCTTCTTTGCTTTGCAAAGTGGCAGACATCACAAGGAAGAGAACTGTTTGTATCTATAGAATTACAAATTTGTTTGAGCTTTGGTATCTTGAAATGAGACACATGACCTAGTCGAAAATGCCACAAGTCAAGCAGTTGCAGTAGTAGTTGCTATGACAGGTTTAGGTCTACTGGTTTTTCCTAGGCTGGTCATGTGGTAAAGGCCATTGGAGAGCTCAGCAGAACCAGTCACTCTTCTGAGCTCCATATCATGTATCAAGCACAGATCAGAGGAGAAAGTTAAGCACAAAGACTTATTTGTGGTTAACTTACTGACTAATATGAGGTTGAAGGCAAAGCGAGGAACAAAAAGAACCCCTTCAAGGACGAGGTCTGCAACAGTTGTGACTCTACCAATGTGAGTAGCCTCTACTTGAGTTCCAGTAGGTAGAGTAATGAATACATTTTGCAATTCTGCTGGCTGTTCTAGTAGACTAAGGGAACACACAATGTGATCCGAAGCACCAGTGTCAAGGATCCAGGTAGAACTGGAATGTTCGCTACCAGACACATTGAAAGAGTGTTTACCTGGAGGGCCTTCATAAGAGTGAAAAGCTGTAGCAGTATGAGTAGTTGCTTTCAGGTTGTCCTTCTCCCTTAGCATAGCCATGAAACGATCATAGTCTCCCTTGGTCAGTCTCACTTCTTGATCATCCATTGATGTTGAGGGAGAAACAGTGGTGTTGGTGGTTGCCATGAATGCATTGGAAGGAGGCCTTGTAGTGGAGGACTGAGAAGTTGGCTTGGAGTTGGCATTGGATGGCCAGCCATGTTTGTGGTAGCACCTGTCTTCAGTGTGACCTTTGCGCTTGCAGTAGGTACATTCAGGGGCTTTCGCTTGATTGTTGGAGTTTGATGGTCGTGGTGTCATACCAGGTGGTCAGTCGTGCTTTTGGTAGCAAACCTCTTCTGTGTGACCACTCCTGCGACAGTAAGTGCAGAATGGCCTCTTTCCCGGAGGGCCATGAGCAGCTAAGGCAACAGATTCAGCGGCCAGGACTTTGCTATGCTGGGTTCCATACTGCTGGCGCTCATGTTGAAGGAGCCTTTGAAAGACTCGATCAATGCTAGGGAGTGTCTCTCCAAAAAGAATTTGGGATCTGACTGTGTTGTAATTGTCATTGAGACCTCTAAGGAATTGAATCACATAGTTTGTATCTCTGTAGCCTAGAACTAGCTTAAGAGCAGCACAAGTTTGAGGGCTGGTTGCTGTGCAGGTACAGGATTCTATCGGCTGATATCCATCAAGTTCATCTTGGATGGTAATGAAAAGGCCATAATACTCATTAAGGGTTTGGTTACCTTGCTTGAGGCTGGATAGAGCTTCAATGAGTTCAGCCACTCTGACTATGTCGCCCTGTCCATAACGAGCTTTGAGGCTGGCCCAGGCTTCAGATGCCAGCTTCAGAGACATGAGGGTCTTGCGAATGCCAGGTTCCACTGCCTGCTGAATCCAACTGAGCACCATAATGTTGTTACGAGTCCAGATGCAGAGAAGAGAAGCATTTGTTGAAGCTGGAACAGGGATGGTGTCGTCGATGAAGCCGATCTTGTTCTTGGCTCCAAGGGCATTCAGCATCGCCTTGCTCCAGTCATTATAGTTTGTTGTGTTGAGCTTTTCACCTACTAACATCAGGCCAGGTTGCTCTGATGCGTGGAGATAGAAAGGATCCGACATTGGATCC